AGGAGTGAAATCGAACCTGGGAAGAAGGGAGGGCTAGGGGAAAGTGGGTTTAGTTTTGATTTTATTTCTCACTGTCCTACTCTATTTTTAATTGGCAGTAAATTAAATTAGTACTCCCCAAGTTGAGTGTGGCTTGCCTATGACAGTAATTTGTGAGTGACCTCCTTGTCCTTAACCCATGAGCTGGTTTTTTATTTTTTCTTACTTTCTCCTATTGTTCAGATGAAGAGTGAGAGTAAGAGAATAGCTTGGTGGCCATCTGGCTGATTTTCAAGTTTAATCCACCACTGCATACTTCAAATTTAAAAATCACATGGTTTTCAGTAAGTCCTATAATAGGTTGATGCACAAGATATATCCATGTAATATTCATTGAACTTAGGAGGGGGACAGTATAGTACACTGCCCATATATTCACTACTACTGTTTTACTAGCTTCATAGGTTTTTTAGAGTTTCAACCTGTTATCATCTTCCTGAACTTCTGAACTAATATTCACTGGAGTTAATCAATATCCACTTTCACACCTGCAGAATGAGTGTTCCATCAGGGCTAAGATTAATCACCCCTCCGCTGAAGCTGAATTATACAATAAACAAGCTTAGGGAAGAGAAAATGTGAAAACAACTTCTCACACTTCTGATAATTAAATAGATTTTATGAATCTAACTCAGTTACCTCTGTTAAGGTGATACATATCTTCAGTAAATTGAAGAGAGACCATTCTTGAACTTGTTTATAAACCATTATGCCTGCAATTCCCTGTACAATTACACAAGTTATATACTGATACCTGTCATTACAAGCGACTCCATGGAAATTTCCCATTAATAAAGCTGGAACCGTTAAATTGCTGCTTGTAAAGATCACCATTTCTGTAATTTAAAACTGATATGCTATTAGATGCCTTATTCTTGTGTTCAGCCTACTGAAGATGCTTCTAAAACTACAGCCACTTGGGTTTGCTTATGAGATCTAAGTAAAATTAATAGCTATGTGTAAAGCAACTATGAAACTCATTGATCTATGGACTGTAGTAAAATTACCAAGAAACAATTAGTTTTCACCTTTATATCTAGTTAAATAAAGCTATCTGCAGGAATGGAAGCAGGCTATTTCTGGTAATCAGCACGATGGATTACTAAGACCAAGAATAAAAATCTTGTTTCTACCCTTCCCCTCACAAAAACCCGAAGTGTGTTTCTGTATATAAAATGCAAACAGTCATGGTAACATGAAGACTATGAAGGAAGAAAAATCAGAAGCTCCCTCTTCCTTTTCAGTCTCTAGAGGTGACAAGTAAAGCATAATAATCTTGAATAACTAAAAAATGCAAAGCCTTTTTGAAGAATTCAGCCAACACAGCTGGATCAGAGCAAACTAGAGGCTCCTTCTAAAGGCAGGGCAGGAGACAGAGACTTGGCTTTTCACTCAGTTCTACATGCTGTCGTGAAGGAACCTCCCCCCACCTCAAATCTCAGCCCACCAGACATTTACAGGCTGAAATGTCTCCACCTGTTAATTTTTTCTTTCAACGAAGAGTTAGACACAAGCATTCAGTTACTCTAAAAAGCTCCATAAACTGCACAAAATGAAAAGCTGATTTTTAAAAAGAGCTATGATAATGAGAAACAAACAAAAGATTATTCCAGAATAGACTTATACAGAACAAGCTCAAAGAAACTTAACAGGGCAAGCCCGTGTTGGAACTTATGTCAGTATTTCAGTAACAAGAGATACAAGTCACATAATTGTATGGTCTTGTTACTTATACTATCATAAGTAGAAATTTTCTTTATGATACACCTGAACAAAATTAAGCTGGAGTAGGAAAATTTTGTAAACACAGCACACTACCCTATGTAACTATTATCTGCTTTTTATGAAAGACCAGATAAATCAATGTAGACTGCAAATACCAAGTACATCAAATAATCAAATTTTATAGAATTACTCTGTTGCATGTTTAGACCGATTGAACTTGTAAGAGAGGACACAGCACCAGTACATAAAGCATCGAACAGAACATATAAAATTTAACTTGTGATTGACGTTGTGTCAGATACCACACAAACACTCTCCAAAACAAAAAAGCTTTTCTTCCCCTTCTCTTTAAGAAGCAGCATGACACAAAAATAACTGTATGATTTCTCCAAGTTATTAGAAGAATAAGACACTTTTGACACGAAGAAACTTTTTCCCCCAAACAGAAGTATTTTCTTTCACTGCTGGAGGTCCATTTATTATATATTTGTTGTATTTCCTACGATTTTCCACAAAATTTAAAGCTGATGTTCTCTGATACACAACCATATCACAGACTCAAGGGAAGGATAACATTTTATGTAACATTCCCTGTTGCTAAAGTAATTGAGCTACATATCAATCATAATTTGGAAAAACACTGACAAAATTTTTAAGAGCTGATTTTTCATTTCATAAGCAGAAGTCAAATGAGTTGCAGTTGCCACAGCTCTACTACTATGAACTGGCAATTTCCTCATGTATGAGATTACATGTTTAATTATTTTGAAGCTGAAATTATGTTGCTGGGTGAGGGGGGAAGAGAAAAAACCTATTCACTTTAGCACTGAACTTCAAATTCTGATATACAGGCCTATGTCTCACTGGCTTTTGCAACACTTTTTGTACTGGACAATAAAATTTCAAAGCCGCAACCAGCACTGAAAGAGAGAGAGTGGCTTGGCTACTGAAACAGATAACTCAGGCCAACAAAGGTCCTTCGATGTCCCCATCACCACAGCACCTACCATCCTGCAGATAAACTTCAGGTCTGTCACTTTCTGAGCTTCCCCTAGATCTCAAGATTACCCACAATAAATCCTGTCAGCAGTGAAATACTACAGGATTACAGTAGAATTAGTTCATCTTCATTACAGGACTTCTGGACAATTATTCCTCCATGCATTTCAGAGCATTTACAAACCCATCTTCCCCACAAAATTCAAGGCTACTATTTTGAACATAATTTGGACTTCTTTCAGACATAACTTTGGAATAATTATTAGAAGCAAAACCACAAATATCCAACTAACCAATAGTTATTCCCGTTAATCTATTCCCCTCCCACAGAGAAGAAAAACCAGCTCTTTATAGAGATTTGGTGCAGCAGTTGATGCAGCTCTGGCACCGTACAGGTGGGGCGAGCTCACTGACAGATTTGTTACTAGGACACTCACGTCACTAAATCCAGAATCCCCTCACACTGAACCTCTTCTCCACAACAAACCCACTCTGTGGTGTCTCAGAGGATTCCAAAAGCCAGAGCCTTTTGCCCAGCTGATGTCTCCATTCCCCACTTGCTTAAAAATTTAAGCATGTTGATGCTGTGACCCATACTGCACCTCACAGTCAATGCTCACAACACCATTCTTTAATTCTCACCTCCCCTTTAAAGCTCTGTGTTGTCACGATGCTTGGATAAATTGCCAACAGTCGCGATACTGCTCTGTGGCGGTCAGAATCCATCAAGCTGACCAAGAGTGCCTCATTCTTTTCCTTCACTCACCATCTGTCTGTATCCATCTCCTGTGATCCTACACTGTCCTTATGGACTGTATGCTGTCTGGGGCAATAACCATCTTTTTTTCATTCTCTGTTTGCACAAAACAGCACGCAGTCCTCTTCTGCAGTTTTCATTAAGACATTACAAGTGGAGCTGTTCCATAGAGATTTTGCAAACTTCGATTTATACAAAGAATAATAAAAAAAGTCAAAGGAAAAAACCCAACTACATGCAGTTCTTCCTATCTGGTTCTGCCTTCCAATATTCCTCTCCCATATTCCAGAAAAATCACTTTTCAAAAAAGCAGAAATTTAAACACATGTATGTCAGGTCATAACTGCAAGAAAATATTTCAACGCGTCTCTTAAAAACCCCAAGTCACGCTAATTCAACATCGGAAAAGTTATTACATAATAGAATACATCTATATAATTTTACTGTAATTGACCTGTTTTGTAAATGACTCAAAATATGCAAAGTCTTCTCTGTAAAGGACAGCTGGTCATTCAGGAATTCAAAGGAAACAGGGAGAGCTTTTTTACAGGGACATTTTAAGTATTCTCTGCTTCTGGTTAAACAGTCTCTCCCATTTTCACTGACAGAATAGTCTCACCACAGATCTCATCGTTAGCTACCCTCTGGAAGCAGACAAGCACTCTGCCCTTCGGGGACTGAATTCAGAAACAATTCTGGGACACCTCAGAATTCTCTCAGCACTGACACCACAAATCCAAATCATTCTCCCCACCTTCCTCTCCTGCACACTCAGACATGTCTTAGGGTGTCTTCTTGTGTTTGGGGCCAAAGTTTTCAGTTGGCCCTATCACTATCAAACTAAACTGAGAATATTTTGCCTTTCTTTCCACTAGAAAGAGAAATGAAAAAAGCAGAGTCCTAACACCAGCCTGGCTTTCGAGCAGTCACTGCAAAAACCACACTATGCGGTAACAACTTGCACTTCATCTCTTTCTCCCTAATTCTGTACCAGCTTTAGTACATCACGCTTCCATCCTGCACGTACCACTTGGTAGCTGCCCTTCCTACGGAATTCCAGTCCTCCTCGAGAAGAGAAATACAAACGGACGGACATAACTCTACCGAAGCATATGTCATTCTGCTATAAATTAGCAGACATCAACACTGTATTTGCAGGAGTCAGCTGTGCCCTCGGTTTATCACATCACCTCGGCGCCGGCAGCAGAGGAGATCAGAATTTGCGGAGGTAACGAAATGGGGCGGCAGGGAATAAACATTCACTCACAAAGTGGAAGGAATTCAGTTTAGGAATCAATTCTATATTTAAGCGCCTCGCCACGCCGGGGTAGTTCACGCTGCAGGTGAAGCAGCTTCCTCCCTGGCCCAGGCTGCAGCAGCCGGCGCTGCTCGCCGCCGCGGGCCCGGCGAGTGGGGCAGCCCCGCGGGCACGGCGTGAGGGCGCGCCCGGCCCGGCCGCGCGGTCCCGGCCCGCACGCACCTGGATGTAGTTGGTCTCGCAGTACTCGGCCACCCGCTCCAGGTTCGTGTAGCTGTCGAACAGGGCCCGGCGCCCCCCCGGGATCTCCTCCTCCAGCAGCATCTGCAGCTCCGCCATCTTCACATCCTCTCACCGTCCGTCCGTCCGCGTGTCTGTCCGTCCCTCGCCCCCCGCCCGCTCCGCGCTCTCCCCCCGCCCCCCCCGGGCTCTGCCCCCGCCGCCCGGGCCCGGCCTCGCGCCGCGCGCACGGAGCGCGCGCCAGACCCCCACCGCGGCGGGGGCGGGGCGCGGTCGCGCGCCGCCTCCTGCGCATGCGCCGCCCCGCGCAGCCCCCCGTGCGCCCACTTCCGCGCCGGCGGCGCGCGGGGGGCGTTTCCGGCGGGAGCGGGGGAGGGGCGCCCCGGCCTCCGGGCGGCCTCCGGTACCGCTGTCCCGGGGAACAATAAATAACTGCGCGTGTGCTCCTTTCAGCGAGTCTTGGCTTCCTTTGAGATCGTTCTGCCTTAATTCACTCGCTGGCGGGTTGCTGGCAGCGCGCCCTCCAGAGCACAGGTCTGCGGCCACCTCTGCCGATAGCCCTGGGGGCCGTGTGAGCGCCAGACCCCGCTGCTGTGCGACCGCTGAGCGGCTCTCTGATGGCTGCAGCTGGAAAAAAAATGTTTCCTCTGTGTGGAAAAGCTACTGTTCTACAGGGGCGTGAGGAAGGGTGAACTCCCTGCTTTCCAGCCTTGCCAAAAAGGCACATAATGAAGGGTCAGCAGAAACAGAGGAAGGACAGCCTCGTGGCTGAAGCACTGCACTGAAGCCATCAGTTAGGAGGCCTGTTTGGTCAGTTCCTGGCTTTAACATGTCTTTTATGTCCCAGGGAAGTCACTCTACGATTGTAATGAAAATGCCCACCCTTCGAGGAACGTGCAAGGCTTTCCCACCCAATTCCTCCACCAGAACCTAGAAATAACCTTTCTCCTACAAAAAAAAACCCAAAAAACAAAACCAACCAACCAGCCCTCTCAGCAGAAGTGCCCCAGCTTTCTGCAGGGGAGCTCATTTGTCTCTTTGAAATGAGTTGCAGCTGTGATTACTCACCTCATGTTCGTTCCCATGAGGCTCCACAAAGCCCCTGCTGTCTCTCTAGTGCAGCCCAGGGCGCTGATATAAGAGCCTGATGCTTTCCCAGCCTTCACGTTACAGACACTTTGGTAGCTGGCCAGAGAACATCCAGCGCTGCAGGACCTGGGTATCAGTCTGCTCCTACAGGAACAGTTGTTCTCTTGCTTTGAAAGCTGCTGCAAAGGCATCCAGCTAGTAGTCAGGTATGCCCGACTTCCAGAATTGCTAACACCTGGCAGGGTCAGGCAACAAACTAGTAGTCTTTGGGGCCAGTCCTTGGAAATTTCTTCCCTTAAAAGAAAAATGAGATAGAAATCCCTGTCCTGAGGGTCATTTCTTCTTAGTTTGCTTAGTTCATATGCAAAGTATTTTTCTCTCATTTTAAAATGTGGTCTGAAATTCACAACTTCAACTACTTTTCAACAGGCAGTTAGAGAGCCAAGGGCAATTTGTAGCTGTAATAGTCTTACTCTCATGAAAAAGCTTAAGAACCACAGAACACCCTGCCAGAGACACCTCCCCATGGTGCATGTGGGAGGAGAGAAGTGACTGCTCGTGAGCACCTATGCTGTCACTGAACACCCATGGGTCCCTGAACGCCTGTGGAGTCAGGCTGCCTGCAGTTCTCCACAACAGTCTGGCATTCTGCCTTAAACCCACAAGGAGCAAAGAGGTGTCATGCAGCCTCATTCTTGGTGCCCTCTACCCACAGAGTCTATAAACCATGAGTTACACATCCAAAAGTACTGGGTTTGGGGTAGTTAAAGAATGAATCATGATTTCAGCTGCCCTGCTGGTTGTTAATGCACATCTTGAGAGAGCAGTCCTTTCTGCAATGGCTCAAGGAAGGAAACCCAGCCAAATCAACTCAAGAAGGCTTCTGTAGAGTGTGGAGCTCCAAGCTTTATCCCACACCTCCAAAAATCATCTATGGCCAGGCCTCCACCTCCCCCAGGGTGTGCAGCTGATGGATAATGCTTTTGCAGTTTGGTAACAGGCCCCATGCTCCCTCCTCCACTGTAGCTTCAGCTTGGATTCTGCTCGTGTCACATCTGCTGCTGCTGTTGCAGCTCCAGGGGTTGCTCATGCCCAGGCTTCCAAGACACTTTCTGTTTGTGCCAGGCTGGAGGCAGGCTGAGGCTTTCCTTCTCTCCTCATTCATTAGCTTCTCAGGTGTGAAGTCAAGCTGTCATTTGGCAGCTCCCCAGTAAACCTACATGATCTTTCTCTTGGCAAAAGGAGAGAGCTGTCAAAATGTAAAGGAGAAGGTTCTCCAAAGATGCTGTTAGGAGTTTAAACTTGGATTAGCAGCACCAGCGTAGGGAGGGGGAATTGTTAATTGTGTCATCTTCTCTCTGTGCCCTTGGGTGCCACTAGGGCCTGCTTTCAGTGGAAACGTGTGAGAGCCCATCTGCCCTCAGAGCTGCACTCAGCAGCAGCAAACCTCCTTACAGGCAGCTCCCACCTGTGGGTCAGGCACCTCGACCTCTCAAGGGCTCTGCCCGTGGTTCTTAGGGTGTAAGAAAAAGCATTATCTGAAATAGATGCACACAGCTGTTCACCAGAGTAGCTGGACTAACCTGTCTGCATAATCAGGTGCTTGTTATCACAGCATGTTTACATTTTAATAGGGTACTCATTTATGGATTTAAATTTAAACATGAAGAGCCCCTCTGTCAGAATAATGGCCATCCTATAATCCTCTGTATACATACAAAAAATAATTAGAAATAGTGTTTAAATTAGATCAACTGAATCCAACTACCACTTCCCTAAATTTACATAAATTACTTCCCATCTGTCAAGTGATGTGCTAAACTAATTTTAAGTTTTTATATTCCCTCAGCCCTAATTCATTACACACTTTAATTTCTCCAATTTTTTCCAATCCTTCTGTGCAAGATTTTCCCTTATATCAATATCTTCAAGACTGAGAAGTAAACACATTTTTCACCTAAAGGTGCTGTTCAAACACTCACCAAAAAATAGAGTAGCAAGCAGTCTAGAGACTTTAAATTGGAGGTCAAGATCCAAAAGCACAGGGAGACCACTATTCTTCCAAGTTCTCTCACATGTCAGGTTTTCACCTCTGCCAATCACCCAAGAGAGTTCCCTCCTCAGCAAAACTTACAAAGATGAGCCAACCCATTGGTCACATGCAATCCTGCAACTGGGCACTCTGCATGGCTATCCCACACATACAGTTTGAATTTAATTCTTAATTAGAGAAGAGTAATAATGGCTCAAAGGCCGCCTATGTTTTGCACACAGTAAGAAATCACAATCAAAGTCTCTTCCATTTTTGTTGCTTTACAGAGAATTGAACAGCACAGTCATCACTTAAGGGGTGCAAGTAAACATCCTCTTTGGACAGATGACCAGGTCACATCCCGGACAGATCCTGCTGCAGGTTTTCAGTTCACCTTTATGTAACTGTGATCTAGTTTTATGAACATTTTTCCTTTTATCTTTTTTCTTTGTAAACAGCAGAACAAAAGCTGAAAATCCCTGTGCTACAGCATCACATGGAGCTGAGCAGATTTGCAGATGGATAAAGGACAAAGGACTCTGTCACCCAAGTTTTGGTCATGTGTACTGGTGATATATATAGGCCCATGCCCTTTAGGAGGAAGGTAACATTTACTGGAGGGGTGAGGGAGGGAAAGAAAATTGGGCAATTGAAGAAAATAGTCTGTAACTAAAGGATGTACCTTCACTCCCCCAACAGAGACAGAGTCTTCACACTTGCTTCACACAGTGTTTGGATCTGCCTCTGCCTGGATAGCCACTCTTTGCCAGTCTCATAATCCAAAGCTTCTGAAACCCACTCTTTGCCAGTCTCATAATCCAAAGCTTCTGAAACAAACAGCAATTTATTTAACTCCCATGGCTATTCCAGAATGCTGGGGTGGCCTCCCAGCACAGAATGCAGCTGTCTAATACTGCAACAAATGGTGTCAGGATCCCAAGGCATCTTAAACACTCAACCTCCAATGCTCACTGTAGACCAGACTGAAAAACCCACACACCCTGAAGCTGCACATTCTCCTCCTGCTTCCTCAGGCATTCAGCAATTTGCTGGGCAATCAAGATTATAACCACAGATAACCTCTCTGCTTATGAGAAACTGCTGCTGGGTCTGGCTTGCTGCACAAAGGTAGGAGAGGTGACCAATGGAGTAGCTTCCATCTCATGGAAGTGTTTGCCCTAACATTGCTATTTCAGAACCATCTAATGCATGACTGACATCTGATACCTCATAGCACCTCCAGAGAGGAACAGGACATGTTGCAGAGATTCAGACCTTCTGTTTGAGGGCACATCTTATTCCAAATCCCAAGCTTTTTTTCTAGTTTTGTGCTGAACTTTCTTTCAACAGAGCACTGTGTGAGGACAGAGCCAGCACAAGGGGAGGTATGCTCCCAGGAAGGAAGAGGTCAAGCCAAATAGAAAAAATAATTATCTCTTTCTAACATTTCAGACTTTAAAAGAAAACAAGCAACAAATGGTCTCAAAGAGAGGCCACCACAAAGCATAGTTGCTCATCAGTCTCCTTCCAAGAGTTCAAACGACAAGCATCCAGGGAACAGGGGAGGAAAGAACAGCTCTAATTTGCTTTTCCTGCTGGTACTCCTTCTCTAAGATGCTAACCCAGACCAACTGCCAGTCCTTTTCCACTCTGACCTGACCCTGTGGCATCTCCCAGGTAAGGTCTGATATGGCTACTGAGCCACTGAAGGGTAGTTAATGCTCCAATACAGCATGTACAAAAGTTCATCTTCTCTGAACTATTGATTCTGGCTCACTGTTACTGACCTACTAATGCTTTTTTTCACTGTGATAGGTTGACATTCACATTTTCAAGTTTGATCTGCAGCAGCTGTAACAGTCAGAATCATTCTTTGAGGTCTTTGTTTTTTCCTGAAATTAAAGTTCACATTTTTAGGTACTCACATAACTCCAGAAACTCACCCCCTGGAACTTTTCTAATCCTGTTCTGTTTGTAATCTTGCTACACACAT